CAACATTCAAAAACGTATTATTATTCTGAACTGATGATTCACCCACCTCATGTAGCGACTGTTATTCTATGAATGCATTTATCTTGGGGTTGGCCATGGGGGCACTGGCCCCAGCTGAAATCTGACCAAAGTGCCCCTGTAATATAAACTAGTCACTAACTATCAATACCAACAATACTAACAATTAATGTGTAATATATTTTGAAGTACACAATGTTCAAAAATGCACCTGACTGAATCTGGAGCCGTGCATGGAAGACGGGCATATACTTGGCTCCTCTGTGTAAATTCTGTCCCCTTTATTGCCCCTGTTTTAAAAAAATCCTAGATCCACTACTGATTTAAGGTGGGTTTAAAGAATATGTGCATTGTTGTGCCCCTTTCCAATGATTGTCTGCTTCGGGCTTTTCACCTCACATCTGGCCATGATCGTTCTGATCAGTTGCAAACCCCTCAGAGTTGGTTGTGCAAAGAATTGTATGAACGGGTTTGTTTTGAGCAAACTGACACGGAAAGTATTTTTTCAGTGGCTCTTGAAAGCCATTACTTTGATTAGTTTTAGCCTTTGTTGAGTTGTAGCCACTTTGGCAGATTACCACAGTGCTATCTTTGTAGCACCTTGAGTTGTGGACTTTTATTTTTAGCACAAGAATTCAGTTACAAAGGTCATCAACGTCGATCATTTATGTGATGGATGAAAAAAGAAAATTGTTTACCAACTTAAAATATATAACAATTGGTGACACACACCAAGTTTGTACACACACATGTAATTCCAACAAAATGCAGAGACACGTGTTCCTTTACATGCAATCACGTGTACCTGCAGCAGAGTCCAAAGACTGTAAACACCTGCAGGTGGAGGATTCATTTACAGTGATGCCTCCTAACTGCCCTTTATGCTTGCGATTGCATGGCTTTAACATGTTGACATTCAAATTTAATCCACGCTTGTAATTATCCACCCCAAGCAAGAAATAGAAGCAGAGCGATTAAAACAGGAAAATCCAATCAAACATGCTTCTTATGACAGTGAACATCCACTGATGAGGTGGAGGCTCCACATATAAGATAATATGCAGTAACAATTACCCTCTCACACACGTCCATACACATGTGCTGTTACACAGGCCCATTCTGGCACAACCAAACACACACATACACCACCACAACAATGCTAATTAATCCAGATATCTTTTCCCACACAGGATATTCTTGGCTTTCATCCCCTCCTCAATTAGACTGAACTTCCTACTGTTGTGTTAGTGTTTGGATTAGGAGGAATTATGGAGGAATGCTAATGTTTGAAATCCTCCTTTGCCTTTGGGTGCATCAGCTGTTTGACAGCTATCTGGCAGTGTGTAACTGTTGGTGTATGCGTGTACAGGAAGTAGTGTTTATGCAGCACAACTTTCACTATGTGGCTGCTACATCGTCTTCATGCAGGCCTTGCATCAACCCCCCCCCCCCCCCCCCCCCCCCCCCCCCCCCCCCCCCGCCTGCCCTTCTTCTTGTACTCCTGAACAGAGATAGGTCAAAATGAGAGCAAACGATTCTTCAGATGTTTCCTGTGTGAACTTTGATCCAGTCTCCATTGGGACTCAAACATCATAGCTCTAAACCTGAGTCTAGATAATCACATAAAATACTACGTACGTCACTTTTCTCTCTTAGCTTGTTAGCCTAGCTGACCTGAATTCAAATCAGCCATATACTACTCCCCAGTGTTAATTAGCAAACCTTCTGATCTTCCAATGTGATGATATGATTGTTAATAAAAGGTAATTCAAGAATAAAGTTATTACTTTCAGTGCATTGTTACTCCAATCCTGTAGTTGATTCTTTATGGCTCTCACTGTTGACTCACATATGTATATATAAATACAACATTAATTGTGAGCTATACGCCCAAACAGGTCTTTTCAGTAATTCTGGCTAGTTAGACTTGTAAATTCTGTGAAGTCACGAGACAACTTTTGGTGATAAGAGCAGACGCTGGTGTCAATGTGTGTGTGCTGTGAAAAAAAAAAAAGAACTTGTGATCTCCACAGCAGAATAAATCCACTATTCACATATATATGTGTGCATATATACACAACTTTTTGGGGGGTTTATGATGTACAAGGTCCTAAAGAGGTGAGAAAAACGAACGCGTACGCAGACTCACACAGAGGTTTGCCACTCCAGGACACCACTGGTAGAGATTAAATCAGCCTTTGAGCAGCCTTGATCTCTGCCTCTCTTGTTTGGTTCTCTCTTGTTCCTCCTCGCTCCTCTATCTGTGGTCCAGGAAGTGCAGCATCATGGATTCGAGGTGTTGCCGCTCGATAACGGGCCTCGGCTCTGTCAGGATTTAGAGTTTATTGGTTTATAGACAAAGAAAACCGTGTGTCCGCAACATCAAATGGAACGCCTCGATGAAACAGACTATGATGGTGAAAAAAACATCTGCAGTTCTCCCATGATTGGCCATGAGAGTGAGTGAGATATGCAAATGTCTGCTGAAAACTCTGCATGTGAGTCCCTCTGCAGTGTGGCTATTTCTCTGTTTGTAGATGATTCTGAATCACACAAACACACAAGCCCTGCTTCAATATCTTTCTCTCATATTCTCACTTAACAAGCCTCATATGTTTCCTTAATTCTCTCTCTCTCTCACACACACACACGCGCACACACACACACACACCTCTTTAATGCATCACTGACATCCACTCCAGCCTGCAACATGTCTCCCCTGTCACCTACTGACACCATCCTCCAAACCTCCAGTCTGTCAGCCGCCTTGAATTATTCATCTAATATGCCCATTTGCCAAAGCCAGCCGTTGTATTAGTTTGCCAAACATTACAGGCAAGAAAAATTTGTTTATCTGTATCCTCTCCCCTCTCATCTCCCCTCTCTGTTCCTTTTTCTCATCTTTTCTCACAAACGCGACGTTCCCCCTCTTTATTGGCATCCACTGTCACAGCGATTCGCTAAAGTGGATGTGACAGGCAGCCAGGCTTGTTCATGCTTCTTATAAAAGCCATACATTTTGCCTCAATAGAATTTTTTCCATCTAATTTCTTCTGCTTCTTTTGCATGCTGTGTTTGACCGTGAGGGAGTGCATTTTCCTGTCTGTTATTGTGTTCAGTCTCTTGTTTTGTCACTGATAATATATGCAAATTGCAACCGTGGAACAGAAAAAAACGTAGGCCTCTTTTCTTTTGGTAATCAGCTCCCACCATTACGTAAACAAAGAACTGACTTGTGCGTGTGTCATTACAGTCAAGCATTACAGAGGATGCTTGACTGGTGCTGCTTGACCCAGCTCCGAGTGCCAAAATGCTCCTCTCCCTCATCTATATTTCAGTGCGGTGTTCTGTAATAATCTCAATTTGTGAACACGCAGCAGCGTCACTCTGCCATTACCAAGCACCATAATCTTTAGTCACATTCCACTAAGGTGCTGAGGTAACCAGGGTCATGACAGCCTGAAATGCTATACACGTCGTTCCGACAGCAGCCGTTCTCTGTGCCGCTGGAGGACTTTTATTTTAACTGAAACTCAGCTTGCACCATTTTCTTTTTATAATCGTGACTGCTCTTAGCACTAAAAGGCTTTTCAGTGAGTCATGCGTTACAGAATTTGACCCCCGAGTTGGCTGCTTTTACTTTAGGTGCAATCAAAGATTTTTTTGGTGCATGGCAGAGTAATTATGGACACTTACAATATAGCACCATGTACATGTGATATTATTTATAACAAGTGCAGTGTTCAGAATGGACTGTTTGCCTGTTCTGTGGTGATGCTGATTACAGATTCAGTAACAGTGAACCTGCAGTATTTTGAAGCCACAGGAGGTAAAGACCTGCTCCTATTTACCTGTTTATTCAAAGCTCAGTATAGCTTGACTCGCAGAACCCCAAACCCTGAATTGGAGAATCAGTTGTGGTTGTCTGAGTCCCAGCCGACGCTGCTGGTCTCCTGATTTTCTTAATATTGAGCGTATCACATTTCCAAATCGCACCGAATTCAACACTGCACGTCACATGCTAAGTGTGAAGCAGATGAGATAAACTGTTCTCAAGATATGCCACATACAAAAAAACAGATAATTCTACTGGCAATGGGAAAGGAGACAATCACATTTTTTAGCAGGTTTATCAAAAACATAAATATTTGGTGTAAGTGTAAGTACGTTACTAGTGGAGTAAATAATACAGGTCTTAATCACCCCATACAAACCTGGAGGTTCCTGCTCCCTGAGGAGACAAGGGGATGCATTTCTTACCACCTTGTAAACACTGGGATTGATTGGAAGGTTACTTTCAGAGTCACTTCAAAACTAATCCAGCTGCTACTGAAGCAAGTGTATTTCCCAAAAATGTTGAGCTGCCCCTTTAAAGAGTGCGTGTGTTAACCTCCAGAGGCTTCTTGTATGGCCCTCGGAGCCTGGTTGGCTCCAAGGCTTAGCCCTCCATTTACAACAAACCCTACTGCATCTCTCTTTTCCTAATGAGGGCTGGAGGGATGTTATCGGGCCTTCAGCTCTTTTTCTCTTTTTCTCTTCTCTCTCTCTCGCACTCATTTCCCTCCTACACTGCAGTCAGGCAAGCAGTGTTAAGTATCTCATCTTCTTTTATCCTCCAGCCTGCCATCGATTTCAAGCTGTTCTCCTCTCATTTACAGCTGTGCCAGACCATTCACGGTACCAGGATGCACATCAGCTGCCAAATGTACACTTTTCCTCATCACGCTCGGCCCAAAGAGGAGAGGATGAACAGGTTTTTTTTCCGCCGCAATCCTTCACGTGTGCCAACCGTCCGTGGAGACATGCTGGTTCCTCCAAGCACATTTATGGATCATTTGATTCAATTTCATGTATCACAGAACTGTAATAATAGCAGAATACATTTTATGGTGACATTTTTCCCCCTTTCAGTTTGTTGTCAGCCCTAAAGGTGTTGTGTTACCACTCCATCCAAACTGTTGGCTTTACATTTTCATCCTAACATGAGGCTGCATACTGACTTCCAGACAAATGTTATCATGCACACTGCAACAAAGGTAAGACTTCTGAGAGACACGGGTTTGCAAAACAAAGTGCTCCGCTGCTCCCTATTGGCTTCTCCGTGACAGTGCATCACTTTAATCCTCAGTGACTTAGGTCTATGTGCTTAACTGTGACACACTGAAGACACTTGATATGGAAGATTTCTTCATTTCAAGTGATTAAAAGATTATCTTATTATTTTAAAACTTTAAATGACCAATTGTTAAAGGAACTTTCTTTATTTAGCAAATCACTTTGGACCATAAAGTACCTGTAAAGACATTTAGGACATGTAAGTGTTTCACCATGTTTCTTTTCTGCCTTTTTTACTTAAGTACAGTAATGAAGTAAATGCACTTTGTTACATCCCACCTGTACCTGGATCTTCTTTTTTTTTTTTAAATCAGATATGTTAAGTGCACTGATATTTATGAGTGTGTGATATTTGGTGCAGACCCAAATAATTTAAATGTGACAGAGGTTTACACTCCACACTGAACACCCTTGCAGTTATTTATGTGAACTAGTGATATTATTATTACTGACATTGAAACACTGCCTCTCAGTTTTCAGTGACCAGGTGTGTCCACAGACACAGTAGAGTGATAGTGTGGTCTTTCTTGAGCCACCAGAGGACAGCAGAGCCCAGGATTCAACTGTATGTGTCAGAGGTCCACACCTACATCACCATGATCATCCTCACAGTGACACAAAGGCCAACTCTGTTGTCTCCGGCAGCTTTAGACTTTCACTCATTCTCGTTTAAGACTGTTTTAAGTACTTTTCATTAAGTTACTAAATATGTTTATTTGTTTTTAAGCAAGATTATGATAAAACATTGGGCAGATTACTATGACACTGGAAGGATGTGGTATGGGCGAAGGAAGAGCCCATTCAGTTTTGGTTTTGGAGATCCAGGGGCTCATCCAGGATATTTTTAACATTGCAATTGGATCTTAATGAAAAAATTCTGACATGTCGTCTGTCATTGCACAGCGAACACTCTAGTGTCGGACCGAGGACAGATTGGATCCTCCATGGACTCACTGTTTCATTGTGCTATAATCAGACGGGGCTAGCTGGTTAGCATGCTAACATCAACAGAGTCAACATGGTCGTTGTTCCCCTCCAGGGACTCTGTCTGAGCAGAGGGACGAGGTTCGATGCTGGTAAGTAAACAGTTGGTAGTGGTGACGTAGTATAACACAGTGTGTGTTTTTAAATGTATACATCCACGTGACATGAGCTGAATTCAGATGCTATCTTTTGAATATAAACTTATCTGTGACGAAAGTTGCGTCACACATCAATGGACTCTCTAATCTCCTTTGTAGGAACCTATTATCAAGGGCAAGATTAAAGCCACGGAGACATCTCTAGTGTCTGCACGCTGGATCATAACGTTATTAACTCTGGACACCCTCAGCCTGAGCTCTAGTTCATTTTCGTGGTGTTGTTTAGAAGATTATAACAGCATATCGTGATATTTCCCAGTTTTTATTGTAATTCATTTAAAGAAAGGAATTATGTTTTCGACAATGGAAGCGTAAGTACTATTATGCACTGTACAACTGCAGTTCACATTTCCTATTATATTTTCTGAAGCTTTCCTTATATTACAATATGTAGTTAACACAATTTAATTTCACAAAATGAGGCCCAAGTCACTTTATTTAACACACTGAGACCCCTAAGGTTTGTGTATATACTTTTAGTTTCATGACAGTTTAAGGTAATACTTCATTAGTCCCACTAAGGGGATATTTGCCGTGTTACAGCAAAAATGAGGATAAACAAGTAGAGAAACAATATAAAAACAAGGAAATATACCACAAGAAAATAATACGTACAATGTAAACAGAATATATAGCAGGAATGCACATTTTTGATTCCTCTGTATATATTTAAATCCCATGCAAATGTTTAATTTCTCTGTAAAAGTTTTATTTTGCTACAAATGTTTCATTTAATTTAATTTCCTTAATTTCTCTGTACATATTTACATTTACATTCATCTCAGGCCAATTTCAAAGTACGGTTACTGTGTTATAAGTTAATTCTGTGTCTAATGTATGTTCAATGTATGTTACTGCTGCAGGGACAGGCAGACACAGGCTGACTTGATTCAGACCAATGAATTGATTAAAAGTCTGGAGTCGCAAGATGTCTTTGTGAATGAGGTGGAGCTGAAGCACAGGTAAGATCCATCATTCTATATTTCATTATTTCCACCATGTGGAAACTGTTTTTTAGTGTTTTCTATTGTGACCCTGTGACTTGGTTGTTAAAGAACAGCATCCTCTGTGAATGACGTGAAAAATGGAAGTGAAACACATCCTAAAGTAAAAACATTTTGAAAATGCCCNTGCTACATGTTTCATTAAATTTAATTTCCTTAATTTCTCTGTACATATTTACATTTACATTCATCTCAGGCCAATTTCAACGTACGGTTACTGTGTTATAAGTTAATTCTAATGTATGTTCAATATATGTTACTGCTACTGGATGCTTGAATTTCCTTCGGGATCAATAAAATATCTATCTATCTATCTATCTATCTATCTATCTATCTATCTATCTATCTATCTATCTATCTATCTATCTATCTATCTATCTATCTGAGATATTGACAGCTCAGTTTAATCAGTTAAGACCTGAGAGTGCTGTGTTAGGTGCATGTATGCATTGCACAGTCCGACACAGTAATGTACGGCCTGCGATAACTCCCAGTCCTTCCTGAACAGTCTGCTAAACTGTAACTGTAACTTTTCAGTCCAACTAAAAGTGAATTATCAGCATTCTCAAAAATGTCCTAATGTTACAGGATCAGTGGTCCGATCAGCAGGGACAGGCAGACACAGGCTGACTTGATTCAGACCAATGAATTGATTAAAAGTCTGGAGTCGCAAGATGTCTTTGTGAATGACGTGGAGCTGAAGCACAGGTAAGATCCATCATTCTATATTTCATTATTTCCACCATGTGGAAACTGTTTTTTAGTGTTTTCTATTGTGACTCTGTGACTTGGTTGTTAAAGAACAGCATCCTCTGTGAATGACGTGAAAAATGGAAGTGAAACACATCCTAAAGTAAAAACATTTTGAAAATGCYCTTTATGSTTTATTTGCAGAGAGAAAGTTGTGAAAAAACTGCAATCCCTCTTTGAGGAGTGGCTCCAAGACATGTGCAGAGAAATGGTAAGAAACATCTTTTTTATCTATACAGTTGTTTCAAAGGTATYTCCAAATATCATACAGACAGCATTTAATTGTGTAGATGATACAACTTCATTGGTTTGCTTTTTGATTTCAGAATGTACCTGAAACTGTCACTGACAAAGTCGGAGGCAGGGTCTTGCCGTTCGGCTCCTATCACCTGGGAGCTTTCTCCAAAGGTAACTAAGATTTTTTCCTCAACTTTAACATGTTCTTACTGTGGAAACTTGTATTTAACAGTTTCACAAGTGACAATATAAGCTTCACTCTCATATGAATCTGTTTTGCTTTGACAGATGCTGATATTGATGTTCTATGTGTTGGGCCTGTATTTTTGGAGGCAATGGTCTTCTTCACCTCCTTTTTGGAGAAGCTCAAAGCCCAGGAGGAGGTCAAAGACATACGGGTTTGTCATATATATCAATTATTGCATCATTTATAAATATCATGCAAGTCAAAGTCTTTTTTTCTCCAGTGCAAGTGACTGACAATATTGTTCTCCTCAGGCCATCGAAGAAGCAGTTGTGCCAGTCATCAAGATGACATTTGATGGAATTGAGGTAAATGAAGATCTGATAAATACAAAGTAAAAATAATAACATACAACTCTACTGGTGCTGTGATAACTGGGTTTGTGTTTCTGTAATCTCATAGGTGGATTTAATCTATGCCCGGTTGCCACAAAGGTCTGTCAGTGACAAAGTCAACCTCCTYGATGACARATGGTTTAAGRAAATGGATAAAATCTCCTCCAGGAGTCTCAATGGTAACATCACACTCAAATACAMAGCTGCTCAGAAATGCTGCAGTATCACCAGAWGACATGATTTATTTATTTYATAAGTTGTTCATTTGCACTTTCCCCCTTTTTAACATGTGGCTGTTTGTGTATGAATCCTTTGTTTTCATTCTGTAGGTTACAGAGTCACTGAGGAAATCCTCCGTCTTGTGCCTGACATCTCAAACTTCAGGCTCACTCTGASAGCCATCAAGCTGTGGGCCAAACGTAAGTCGAACAACACAGAACTAATTCATCATGGCAGTCACWGTCTCTCTGTGAATAGRTGGACTTGTTTCCCAACATGATCATTTCACATTCATACCAACAATGGCTGACTGCCCTGTTCTGGAGTAACTGGTCATCAACTACATYTGAAATCATTTTAGTCAGTGGTGCAAAATGATAACTTCAATCTCAGATTATTGTCATTATGGATATTTAGTTTGCTTTGTCTACATTTGCTGAAATGCAACCACAGGCCAGTCTCTATTGTGCAGGAATAAACAATGCACAGGTTTACTGAACTATATCATATGTACACAACGGAAAGGAAACATTATTAATGTGAGAAAAAACAGTAACATTATACATTTTGTTTAAATGTTGTTTCTCATCCTTATATTTCCTTTCAGGACGCAACATTTACTCTAACAAGCTGGGCTTCTTGGGTGGGGTATCCTGGGCCATTCTGGTWGCYAGAATTTGCCAGCTTTATCCAAATGCRGCAGCATCCACCCTGGTGCTGAAGTTCTTCCAGATCTACTCCATGTGGTGAGTTKTGTCAGCATTTCTSTTAAAAATAAASTATTTCTCAATTTCTTAACATGTTCGGTGTTTGGGGATTTTTAAACTCTGCTTTTTATCACTGAAAATGCATGTTCATGCTTTGTTAAAGATGTAGACAAGGATCAGTTGATWTGACAATCTTGTGTTTTGTGTCAGKGASTGGAAYATCCCTATTYGTCTGAGGGCGGTGCTGGACCTCCAATACGACCTTCACTCCTGGGATCCCAAGGTAAGTCATCTGCAGGATCTTTAGTCAAAGTTTAAGAAACAAACATATGATGAAGTGAGTTTGTGAATTATCCAGTTTAAAACATATAGTAAGATGATAATCTGTGTTCTTCTGCATTTCCAGTCTAACAGACATGATAGGTACCACTTGATGCCGATCATCACGCCGGTCTACCCCCAGCAGAACTCAGCGTTCAATGTCTCTCTCTCCTCGCGGACCATCCTGATKGAAGAGTTCAATCGGGGTATGTATAGTCACTCAGCTGACTACCTGCATTGTGAGCCAAACAAACATCAATTCCAGTGTTCCAATCGTGGATTAAAACAAACCGTTAAACTCAATAACATCTYCMAGAATTTTAATCTGAGAGTGTGARAACATTTTGATTTAAACCACCTGTCTCTTCCTCGTTCACAGGCCACACTATCCTCCAGGAAATACAGCAGCACAAAGTCGACTGGCTCAAACTCTTTGAAACGCCAAACTTTATGAACAAGTACCGGTACGTATTGAGTTACCTAAAGACAGTCCTGCCATGTAATTAAATACACTCACACACATTGCTCTCTAAAACATAGACAWTTACTAAAATAATGTTTTGATTAGTGTTATTAGCTGAAAATGTTGAAATGGATCATCTGTTYGTGGATTTGTGGCCTTTTTAATGTTCATGCTGAACTTAAAGGTAAACTTCAATCTGACGGTCCATGACTAATGTTGATGGATGTGCCAACCAGGTTGTGATGGTTTCTAGTCATTTATAATAAAATCTGTAACAAAGTTTTAAAAAAAGATGACCATGTCTTCATTGTTATGTGGATGGTTAAAGCTCTGAATGTGAGCTGCCTGATTGATTGAGTTCCACTCTTTTACTTCGAAAGTACGATCGATTTTTGTTGTTTTTGTCACAACAGGCAGCGTCCTCGATATCAGTAATGATGCATTTATGTTGTGGAAGAAATGATGGACACAGTGAGCAGCTGTGTTCACCTTTTGACGAGAATTTTTAAATTGTGTTGTGGAGTTTGGGCGTTWAATACACAAACACAGATCACTTACATTTTAAAACAACACAGGTTTTATTTTTACATTTAAAGTTTACTGTATAATTGACATAACGAAGGTGAGTATAGTGATATTAATTATTGTGCTGTGCAGTAAGTTGACCTGCTTTAAATATTGAGCAGCAATGAATTCACAACATAGTTTTGATTAATCTGTCTCTTTTAATCAAAGGCATTACCTTCAAGTGGACGCATTCTCTGCTACAGGCGAGCAGCATATTGATTGGTGAGTCAAGTTAAACTGGAATAACTTCGACACGTTTGTAGACCACGTTTGAACTTTGGATGAAAAACTGTTTGAATACTTTACATCCAGCTGCTGGAGTGTTTTCTTCTTTCTGTAAACAAGTCTTCATTCACTCGTTCAGGGTCGGCCTGGTGGAGTCCAAAATAAGACTCCTGGTGGGAGCTCTGCAGATACATCCGTACATTTCCTTGGCTCATGTGAACGTGCAGCCCTACTCTCCACCCAAGGAGCCCGATAGCATGTAAGGGCATTATTTCATATTTCAGCTCGTTCCTGTTTTTTGTTCTGATGCTCTGTATTTAMTCTCAGTTTGCTGTAACAAGGCTTTAAAGCTCATGTCTCGTGTTGGTTGTCTGTTTCTGTTTCAGAGAGGGTATGAGCACAAAGTGGATGATTGGATTTACCCTGACAAACGAGTACAAGAAGATAATTAAAAAGAAAGATATCGACCTGACCAGTGAAGTCGGCTACTTTATTGATACTGGTATGTTTTTGTTTCCTTGCTCTTCTTCTTTAAATTTAGTGACACTGGAGCAGAGTTGTGTGAAAATGTGAAATCATTTTTATTTTGTGCCCTTGCAGTCTACGACCTGGCAAAGAGCTGTGGTCTGTTTAAGGAGGGAATGGTYGTTTTAGTCAACTATGAAAAGAGGAAGGTTGTTGCCAAACGTGCCAAAGTGTCGCCCTGTCACACRACTGAAAAGGTTTGCTCAAACATTTCATGCTTTATTTGACWAAACATACATGTGTCTATAATATATACAATGTTTTCTGCTGTTATTAATGATATCTCATTTTTTTWAATCTTCACAAAAACCATAGTTAAAAAATGACAGGTTGTGCTTTTACAGTGGGTTATGCACTGAAGTATTTCTCATATTAGAGTTACACAGTGATATCAAGACTCCAGGAAGTTACTKTGCCCAGAAGAGARATAATCCAGCACATAACCCCTGTAAAAACCCTAATGTAACAGTTGTTAGTTGCAGTGCATCATATTGATCATACAGATGCAAGAGTGGCATCAATTGTCTTACTCTTATCAAAACATTTAAGTACATAGTATTTCCTAAATTCTTACTTGTGTTAAGATATTACTTAAAACATKTTTTTGTTCTCTACAGGAATCCTCTGTAACATCCGAGCCCAGCAAAGCTTCTCCAGCTTCCACAGCTCCACAGGCCACAAAGCGATCTTGTTCTCCCTCAGCAGAGACTTCCTGTAAGAAGTTCAGGCCTGAGGAGAAGGAGGGAGGGATGATAACCACCTGCCCCAAAAACCCCACCACAGGTGTCTTGCCCACCAAGAAAATTGTGAAGCTGATAAGGAGCCCTCCCAAAGCACCACAGGGCACAAAGAGATCTTGTTCTCCCTCAGCAGATACTTCATGTAAGAAGTTCAGGCCTGAGGAGAAGGAGCTAGAGATGATACCCACCTGCCCCGAAAACCCTACCACAGGTATCTTGCCCACCAAGAAAATTGTGAAGCTGATAAGGAGCCTTCCCACAGCACCACAAGCCACAAAGAGATCTTGTTCTCCCTCAGCAGAAACTTCATGTAAGAAGTTCAGGCCTGAGGAGAAACAAGCACAGGGGGTGAAACCCACCTGCCCTGAAAGCCCCACCACAGGTGTCTGTCCAACTAAGAAAATTGTGAGCCTGGTAAGGAGACCTGGCTTTTCAATCTCTACAGGTCCAGAGGCCACAAAAAGACCTTGTTCTCCCTCAGCAGAAACTTCATGTAAGAAGTTCAGGCCTGAGGAGAAACAAGCACCAGGGATGAAACCCATCTGCCCAGAAAACCCCACCACAGGTGTCTTGCCCTCTAAGAAGATTGTGAAGCTGGTAAGGAGAGTTGGCTTTTCAATCTCCAGAGGTCCAGAGGCCACAAACCGACCTTGTTCTCCCTCAGGAGGAACTTCATGTGAGGGGTTCAGGCCTGAGGAGAAACAAGCACAGGGGGTGAAACCCACCTGCCCCGAAAACCCCACCACAGGTGTCTTGCCCACTAAGAAGATTGTGAAGCTGGTAAGGAGACCTGGCTTTTCAATCTCCAGAGGTCCAGAGGCCACAAACCGACCTTGTTCTCCCTCAGGAGGAACTTCATGTGAGGGGTTCAGGCATGAGGAGAAACAAGCACCAGGGATGAAACCCATCTGCCCCGAAAATCCCACCACAGGTGTCTTGCCCACTAAGAAGATTGTAAAGCTTGTAAGGAGACCTGGCTTTTCAATCTCCAGAGGTCCAGAGGCCACAAAGAGACCTCATTCTCCCTCAGCAGAAACTTCATGTAAGAAGTTCCGGCCTGAGGAGAAACAAGCACCAGGGATGAAACCCATCTGCCCCAAAAACTCCACCACAGGTGTCTTGCCCACCAAGAAAATTGTGAAGCTGATAAGGAGCCCTCCCACAGCACCACAGGCCAC